TAATAATAATAAATGGAGAAATGTGGGATTCACATATAAATCAAGTATAAAAATCAAACGAATATTCATATTTGACCTGATTGTTTATAGTTCATAATGCGTGATCAAAACCGAAAGTTTCTGTGATGACTGCCCTTGCACTGTTCACCATGTGAGAACTTATTCACTATGTAAGAATTTGTTCACCATGTAAGAACTTGTTCATTATGCTTCAGAAGATTGGAGACTGAGAAGAATTAGGCTTGGAGTGGATTAATGATTATGCATTGAGCATTGAGACCCCTATACAGAATTTTATTGTTGTTAACAACCATTTGATCAATAAATATGAGAGATGCCCTCTTAAAAATAAATTGACAAACTGGACTCCATCAACTTAAAATTTTTTCTTTATCAAAGATACCAAAAGAAAAAATGAAAAAAAAATACTACAGACTGCAAGGAAAAATCTATGATATACATGATTGTTTATATATAATTCTGATAAACTATATATATACTTGATAAAGAATTTGTATGTAGAAAGTACAAAGGACATTAGCAACTCAATAATAATACTGAAAACCCAATAAAAAGTGGGTAAATTGTTTAAGCCAGACACCTGATAAATGAGTATGTATATCAAGCACATGAAAAGATATTTAATCTCATTAGCCAGTATGGAAATTCAAACTGAATCACAAGCCAGTAATACTACATACCATTAGTTGGCTAAGATCATAAGAACTGGCAATACCAAGCTTTGGCAACAATATAAGCAACTGGAATTCTGATATGGGGCTGGTGGTAATGCAAAGTGATAATGACCACTTTGAAAACCAGTTTGTAGCTTCTTATTTAAACCTACACTTACCACAAGACTCAGCAATTTTACTCCTAGATATGTTCCCAGGAGAAATAAAGTCGTACCTCTACACACTTTACATGATTGTTCCTAGCAGTTTTTTTTGTTCTAGTCCCAAACTGTTAACAGCTCAAGACCCACCAACAGTTAAAAGAACTAATTGTGGTATATTTAAAGAGGAGACTATTTCTTAAAATAACATGGAACAAACTACCAAAGAATACAAGAGTCTTGTAAATATTACAAACTGAGAGAAAGCCAGACTCCAAAAATATCAACTGTACAATTCTATTTATGAAACTCTAGAAATTTAATCATGAAACTCTAGAAAATGTACATCTAATGTATAGTGACAGAAAGATGGTCATTACCTGGCTTACCTGGGGCCATTTTTAGAAGGAGATGATGCCTGGGAAACTTTGGGGAGCTGGAAATAGTCTGTCTTGACTGTGGTAGTGGTTAATCAGGAGTATAAAGTTTTCAAAACTTATATAATTGAAATGGTTACATTTACTGTATAAAAGTTATATCTCAATATAATTAATTTCAAAAACTAAAATAATATGTAAATTTAATGTTTACATTGACATCATATATTAAAATTAGAAATGTTACTATTAAAATATATACACAAATTTATATAACAATAAAATATATGATTAACCCCACTAATGGAACCAGAAAGTCCCCCTTGGTTTCAGAAAGTTCCAAGGATTCTTTATATCAAAATACTAGAGTATAAAATGGAAGAATTCTGAGAAAGATGACATATTTCTGTATTTTAAAATGGTTTTAACTACAAAATGCCCCATTGACTTTCTATTGAAACAAATATATAACGTATTTTGATATTTATTTTCATGTGAAGAGGTTAAAAAATGAAAAAAAAAAACAGCCTTAGAGGTAAAGCATTTTACACTTAACATTTAGCTCTCATTGTGAATTTCTGTGGTTTGAAGCTTGAAATTCAATCTCAAAGTCATTAAAAGCTTAGAAAAAATTGATAAATAATGTAAGAGAAAAAAATGAATTAAAGAAAAGACAAAAGGCTTAGCAGCCCAGGTCAGGTTGGGCCACACAGGGCATATCTAGAAGGTCAAGCCCCTGCAGGAGCTGAACCCCACTTTCATCTACCCAAATGATAAGCTCCATAGCTGACCCACAGCCTTTCAAAATCATTGTAATTCTTTTCTACCCTGAAACATTTCTCATATGGTTTTTGTGAAAATGAGTTTTTCTTCTTTGCCTTTAAATGATATGCTCAAGCACCTTTAACATTCAAACTCCTTTTGAGGAGTTTCATGCAAAATATCAACTACCATTTTCACTTCCCTTTAGCCTGAAAGAAAATACAGTTCACATTATTATCACTTACTTCCTCACTCATTTAATGGATGATTTGATGTCGTTTCTAAGGTTACCTGAATTATCTGGCTCACAGTCAGGAAGGACAAAACAAAATTGATACTGTCCCACCAAATCTACCATAGGAAAGCCAGTTGCAGCTCAGAGGGACTTATTTGAATCCTTTACTTAGAAATTTAAGACATCCTTAATTGGCCCTTGTCTATGTAATATATTCATTTCTCCTCCCAGTTTTTGGATATATTGTAAGTATGTTGAGAGTTATGTGATTTAGTAACCAACTAATTTATTGCCTTACATGTGATGATATTGGATTCGGGAGCACTCTTTCTAAACTTTCATTAGTGCAGACGGAAAACACCCCCAGTACTGCCTCTCAAAGGTAAAGACAAAAAGCATGAAATAATTTAATCCTTCATTTACCTCATCAATTCATATTTTAAAGCACAGTGCAGAAATTTCTGACTGTGCACTTCCAGTCTTGAGCAATTGTTAAAGTACTTCGTTGTTTATTTTTTTTGTTACATTGATTAAAGGAAGAGGATCTTATTTTCAATTTAGAAAATACACTGTTTCATTTAATTTATCAAGATAACAATTGTTCAAATAGGCATAATAATTAACTTCACAGCAACTGTGGGAATATTTCCAAACTATCAAATATATTTTAAACGTTTGTTTAGAATATTTCCATAGTAACACTTGGCATGAGTAGTGAGTTTTCTTTTTTTAAAAAATTTTTATTCTCATTGACTCCATTACAGAAATTGAGGAAATATGTTGGGGTGTGATATTTTGCAATTTTAGGCATTCAAAGCTGTATAAAAATTGACCTTTATTTATATATTTTAATATAACATTTTATTATTTGAAAATGTGTAAAGTGTAAAAAGATAATAGGCATCACCTTTTTGTAACAGCCTTTCCAAAACAAATAATGTTGATTCTATGCTAGATTCCTTTCAAATTATTTTGCATGAACACTGTTTAACCAAGTTGAGATTTTACTGTATGTTCAATTTTATGTTTTTCACTTTATTTTATATATAAGCATGCCTCTTTGCCATTAAAAACTCATAAGTATTTTTTTAATCCTACATTAAGACAGTTTTATATTTGCAGAATGATTGCAAAGTAGTACAGAGAGTTAGTTCTCAGATAACTTGCAACCAGTTTCCCCTATTATTAATATCTTATGTTTCAGTAGCAGATGTGTTATAGTTAATGAAACAATATTGCTACATTATTGTTAACTGATGTCGATACTTATTCAGATTTACTTAACTTCATCCTGATGTGCTTTTCTGTTTCAGTATCCCTTTGGAATAGTCTGTTATATTTAGTCATCATTCTCCTCAGGATCCTCTTAATTATGACAGTTACTCAGACTTCCCTAATTTTAATGAATGATAGTATGAGGAGTGCTGGCTAACAATTTTATAAATCATTCGTGAATTGAAATCTATCTGATGTTTCTCTCTTGTTAGATTGGGGTACTGTGATTTTGGGAGGGAGACCAGAGAAGATGCCATTTTCATCATATCACATCAAGGGTATCTACTGTCAATGTGATATGACTGTTGATGTTCACCTTGCTCACCTGACTGAGGTAGTGTTTATCAAGTTTTTTGCACTGTTAAGCTATGCTCTCTTCCCCCTTTCCAAACTGTGCTCTTTGGAAGGAAGTCACTTTATGCAGCCACTACTTACAGTGTGGAAATGTATTTCCCACTCCTTCAGTAAGCAGTGTATATGATACGATTTTCCCTTTTAAAACTATTGATGTGGCTGGTTTCAATGTATAATTATTCTTATGCATTGTTAGATTCAATTTGCTAATATATTGAGGATTTTTATATCTATGTCCACAAGATATTTGCCTATGATTTTCCTTTCTCGTAATTGTTTTATCTGGTTTTAATTGTGTTTAATGGTACGAGGGTAAAAATATTGGTCTCATAGAATGAGTTAGAAAGTGTTTTGTGTGCTTCTATTTTCAGAAAGAGATTGTGGAGAGGGGTATCATTTTTTCCTTAAATGTTTGGTAGATTCCAGCAGTGAAAAACCATCTGGGCCTGTCCTTTCTCGTTTTTAAGGTTCCTAAGTATTGATTCCATTTCTTTAATAGATACAGGGAAACTTAGGTTATATATTTCTCCTGTGTAAGCTTTGGTGGTTTGTATCTTTGAAGGAATTGACATTTTATGTTTATTACACTGATAAGTAGAGCTTTTCACAGTATGCCTTTATTATCTTTTTAATGACAGCGGGACCAGCAATGATGACCCCTCTTTCATTTCTGATATTGGCAAATTGTGTCTTTGCTCTTTTTCTTGGGTCGCTTGCCCAGATACTTATCAATTTTATTTATCTTTTCCAAGATCTAGCTTTGACTCCTTTGATTTTTCTCTATTGATTTATTATTTTCAATTTCATTGATTTTTGTTCTATTTTTATTTATTTTTTCCTGCTTGATAGATTTATATTGTTCTTTCTCTAGTTTACTAAAAGGTTTCCTAAGGTGGAAGCTTAAGTTTGTTTTCAGATCATTATTCTTTTCTCATATATTCATTTAATGCTGTGTCTTTTTAAGTGCTGCTTCCATATATTACGCAGTTGTAGTTCCATTTTTCTTTAATTAAAAATATTTTATGTCTTCTGAGATTTCTTTTTTCCCCTTGTGCTATTTAGAATAATGTTGTTTAATTTTCAGGTGATTTTTCCCCTATTTTTTTATAATTGATTTCTAATATTGTCCTATTGTAGTTTGAAAACATGTTTTGTATGATTTCTGTTTTTTTAAATTATGTGCTTTGTAGCCTAGGCAAGGTTTATCTTCATGAGTGTCCCTGTGTCTTAAAAAGAATGAGTATTTTGCTGTTGGATTACTTATTTTATAAATGTCAATTAGATCATCTTGATTGATAGCACTGTTCAGAACAACTGTATCTTTTCTGATTTTCTGCCAGCCTGAGGTATCAATTACTGAAGGAGGGGTGTGAAGTCTTCAACTACAATAGTGGATTTGTCAATTTGTCCTTTTACTTTGATAAAAAAAAATATGAGCAGCGATTGCCTCATGTATTTCGACATTTTCTTTTTAGGTGCATACGTGATAAGATTGTTATGTGTCCTTGGAAAAATGACTACTTTATCATATATATTTCCCCTCTTTATCCCTCATAATTTTCTTTGATCTGAGGTGTGCTTTGTATGAAATTAATGTAAGTACTCCAGCTTTCTTTGGATAGTGTTAACATAGTTTGTATTTGCCCACCCTTTTAATTTTTTACCTATTATCTATCAATCATCATCCATCGATGTCTACCATCTATTTTTGTATGTAACACATAGCTGAGTTTTACTTACTTATCCATTCCAACAATTTCTTTCTTTTATTTGGTGTACTTACATCATCCACAATTGAAGTGATTATTGACACAGTTGGGTTAATATACACCATATTTGTAACTGATTTTGATTCATTGTATTTGTTCTTTCTCTTTTCCCTCCTTTCCTGGTTTCTCTGTAATTGAGCATCTTTATGAGCATTTTATTCTACTTTATCTCCTCTCTTAGCATATCAATCATAATTAAAAAACATTTTGATAATTGCCCTATGCATACTTCCAGTGCACATTTTTAACTAGTCTAAGTCCATGTTGAAATAAAGTCATACCATTTCACATGCATTTCCAGTTCTTCCCTTCCCTCCCTTTTGACATTTCTCATTCATTTTTACTCACCATATGCTATCATTACCAAATGCAATATTTCCACTAATACTTCAGCTATTTTTTAGATTAAGAACAGGAAAAATAAGTTTCTTTCACTTTCATATATTCTTTCTCCAATTCTCTCCCTTTCTTATGCAGATTTTCATTTCTGGCCTATGTTATTTTTCTTTTCCCTGACCATCTTTTAATATTTTTTGCAGGGCAAATCTGCTGATGAAAAATTCCTTCAGTTTTGGTTTGTCTAAAAACGATTTCCTTTTTACTTTTGAAGAATAATTTCATTGAATACACAATTCTAATTTGGTAGGTTATCTTTCAATATTTAAGTATTTCACTCAATTCTTCTTGCTATTATGGTTTCTGATTTTAAAAATCCACTTTAATTTCTATCCTTAGTCTTATCATCTTGCCTCTATCACAATTATTTCTTTGTCTTTCTACATTCTAGCTAAGATAACCATTTGTTTACTCTTTTAAGTATTTATCTTGTTTGGTGGTTTCTGAGCTTCCTAGATCTGCAGTTTGCTGTCATTAATTTTGCATAGTTATTGGTCAATATTACTCCCAGTGTTTTTTTCCTTGTTCTCTCTTTTCTTTCTGGTATTCAGTAATGCCTATGTTACACCTTTTAAAAATGCCCTACAGTTCTTGGATGTTCTTTCTCTTTTGTTATAGAATGCTCTGGTAGTATTTCATAATGATTTCTCTTCTTTTCTCCTTAATTGAGCAAAAAGGTGCTCCTTCTCTGATCTTCAACCACAAGGACCTGGAGGTAAACATGAGGATTTTACTGCTTCCACCTCACAGGTCTGGGGCCCCATTAATTTCTTCCTTTTATGCTAGTCTATACCCAGTCTAAAGCTGTTCATCAAAATTAGAGTCCCATGGCTCTCTCATATTACGGCTCCCATGATTTCTGCTCCAAGTAATCATATCTTAGCTGTAATGTTCTGGATTCACCTGTCTCTCCAGATTTCAGGGAGGTAATGTGCCTTGCAATCTCAGTTCTCTGATGGGTCCAAAAAAAACAAAAAAAGTCATAAATTTTTAGTTGTTTGCTTTTCTTTGTTGTTGTTATAATGATCGGAGTAACTGTTTCTTTGGAGATAAAATTGCCTCATAAATACTTTTAATGGTCTGAATATTTAGTCTATAAACCATTCCATTTATTTCATGTTAAGCATATAGTTATTTTTTTCACTAATAGAGCTAATGTAGAAACAGTATTTTTATATTGTGATTTAATTTAAATTATACCCTTATAATTCAAATAGTTGAGTCCAAGTTTATGCATATTATTTGTAAGATAAATTCTAGCCCGAATAAGCAGGCAAAGAGAGGCAATAAAGGGCCAGGTAATTTATTTAAATACCCCCGGGTGAGGTTCTAAGGGTATGTTCTGGTGGGAGAAGAGGGCAGTGAAGGTGGAAGGAGAGGGGGAGGGGTGGTGCAGCCACTGGAAGAGGAGAGCAGGACTACGGCATGGTTGAGAATGCAGGAATATAAGATGGAAGCGACAGGTGGGAAGACAAAGGACTTAGAGACGGTGGTGACGAGAGGGGGATGGGATCGCGAGCTGAGGGAGGCGGGTGACTGAGGTTTTCTGGTGGATCCGAAAAGGACTGAGCAGAGTAAGAGGCTGACAATCTTTAACTGGAGATCGGGCTAGAAGAACCTGAGTTATAGAACACTTAACATAAAGGTCTTGATGGGAGTGCAAAGTCCAAAAAGCCTGCACATGTGGGATTTCATTCTACTTTCCGCTTCGGTGGCAATAATTAGTTAAGTCGGTGAGGAGGCTAAAATCAAAAGTTCCCTCAGGGGACCAGCAAGATTGGTTGTCCAAGGGATACTGAGGCCTGGCCTCAGAGGAAAGGAAGACTAACTTCCGTTTGTGGATTTCCTGGGACAAACAGAGTAGCCAGATTAGAAATGAGACACCACAGTGGGGTCTGAGCCTCTGCTTTCATGGGCTGGTTCCTCACATCTGCAACCACTTCCCAAAAAATATCCCACTGAGAGGAGCACCCAGCGTCCCAAGTGCACCAAGTCAGGGGAGATGGCCTGGGAGCCTGGGTGAGGGACATCTCCCCCACCGCAGGGCTAGGGGCGGGTATCCTGGATACTCGCAATGGATGGGCTGAATGCCTGGACCTGGACATAGCTATGATTTTGGACAGACCAGGTGAAACGGAGTTGGGAAGGGAAGCAGACTGGGGAAACTGAGGGACTCACCGGAAAATAGTTTACGCAGCAGAGAGCAGGCTGAGGTCCCGGGTCAGGGAAGGAGGGGGTGGGGCCGCCGGTGGCCAGTCGGGGCCCCACACTCACACTCCTCCCAGGTTTTGGCACCAAATGTAAAAGATAAATTCTAGCCGGAATAAGCAGGCAAAGAGAGGCAACAAAGGGCCAGGTAATTTATTTAAATACCCCCGGGTGAGGTTCTATGGCCTTCTTGCCGGAGGCCAGAGAAGTCACACCCAGTTAGGGAGGTGGGGCGCTTATAAGGGATTAGGAGGGGGAGGAGTGGGCAAGCTATCCTAAGGGGTGTTGAGAGGTACAATTGGCTAAAGATGACATAATAGTCAACTAGAAACTTTTTTCCTTCCAAGAGGGAGGAGGCTGACATCCGGGTCTCAGTTGGCACATCAGAATGAAATTCAGGGAGAGCTGTCCCCTTTCCATATACCGCACGGACTTTGGGGTCTGGTCTGTTCTCCCCCTATGGCATCTCTCTGTTCTGTTTGCATGTCCTTGTTTTTCCTTTCTCCAGCCTAACATTATTGTTTTGCTACCTGAAGCCATACTGCCCTTCAAAAAACTTATCATACTCTGGGCTCCTCTAAGAGGGAATAAAAGTGGCCTTTTTTACTTCACTTTTTTGGACAATGTAGCTTATCATTAAAAAATAACATTTCCAAAGTGAGTTATGATATTTTTAGTTGCATTTATTTTATTATAAAATATTGGGGAATGTGTGAATAGGTTTATATTTGCATTAACAATATTGTATCTTCTTTCCTGACTTTAATTATGTGTATTATCTATCTATAGAGATCTTAGAAAGCTATCAATTTGTAATCATTTTCTGTTTTAAGTAGCATATTATTAATGCTTTAATTTCAATTACTTTGATTTTGATGTGATGTTTACTTTTAAACGTATCAGTTCAAATGTTGTGCATCCAAGTATGCCAATACCTTTGTTTGTAATTTCTTCTATTATTTCTAAGCTTAAATGGTTCTTCCCAATCTAGACTAACGGCACTGGTGATATATATTATTTGTTAACTTTTTGGCTGTTGTTCACATTTCAAGAATTATCATGCCACTTCCATTGGAATATCTCACACATATTGTCATGCTGTTTGTTTCCATACTATTTACACCACTTGATACTGACTAGTCTTTTGTAGATTTGATTTGTCTTCAGCAGTTTCATTAGAAATGTCTTTATATCCTGAATTATAACCTCTGACATTTGCTTTAAGAATTCAGAATATGAGTCAATACCCAGGAGCACAATCCGCAGGGCTTTGCCCTCTCATTAGAGCATGCACCCTTACCTGGGTCTGCACATGCTCTGCAACCCAGAGGAAGTCTTCCTTCTGGTGACCTTTTGTTCATGTCAACTCTATAATCACCAAGTTTTAGCTTGTAGAAACAGTTTGGTATAAGTGAGGATTCCGTACTCTGCAGTAAAATATTACTTTTATTTTTTATTCCTCTGGTACATTGATGTATATTATGCAAATTAAGTATAAACATAAAAGAATGAGTCCTTCACCATCGATACTAGATTAGTATAGAGAGAACGCTGAATATTGAGCATTGAAAAGAGCCAAAATGCATAGTGTGTTTAACCTCCCAGTGTATTAGAAATATATACTGGATGTTTATACATGTAACGTCTATCCAATTTTCAACATTTTTCCTACATTTTGGGAAATCCTTACCGGGCACCACGTCCTACATAGGCGAACAAGATGCAAGGTATTTCCAATCCCCATCCCCCATCAGACTGGGTCAGCTAGAGACTTGAAGACTATAGAACAGTTGAGAAATTATTCACATCAGTGTCTAAAGTGTGTCAGTGGCAATAACATTGAGAGTGGTGGTGGAGTCTGTTCGTTTTCTAGTCCTGATTGTTTAGCCTTGCATCTGATTCTCTAAGACTTGATATTCTTCCAAAAAATTTATCCTGTGCTTAAGCAAAGTCAATTACTGATGGTTGTGATGAAGCAATCTGATTATATATAGAAATACACTGATTACAAGTATCAGAAATTGCACTCGAGAAAGAAAATTTTTTATTTTTTCTTTAATATCAAAGAAAAAACCTTATTACACTATGAACATTAAAAATCATTTTCTATGGCTGCAGATACCAAGAAGAAAACATACTATGAAGCATTTACTTTTTAAGATGACATTATGTTTCTCTTTTGTTAGACACTGTATCATTTACATGTCTCCTCATTTCTTCAAGTCATTAATTTTTAGTTTCTAACAGGAAAAAAATTAATTTATATCAATAAAAATATATTTACCAGCCAAACACTGTTGGAATCATATTTATCTTGCTCAAGAAATATGATCTAGAATGACATTTTGAACCAAAGCATTTTTGCTGTATATTTGCTGCGGTTTCTTTTATTTGACCAAAACATATGCCTCAAAAGATTATTATTAGTGTTGGATTCTCCCTGAGGAGGACGCCACCCCAATTCACTCATGAAAGGCGTCTCTTGATGCAACAAGCAAGAGGAATTTATTCAGGAACCAGCTAGCTGGGGTCCAAGCATCAGCCCGACACAGAGGGTCTCAACAAGGACCCTGAGCACACAAAGCCAGAAGGTTTTATAGCATTTTCAAAGGGGGCAACATTTTCCACAATCACAATACAGTGTTTTTTCATAGACACATAAATCTTTGGCTGGGGCCACATCCTGGGGTCTGGTTAGATAAGATTACCTTCGGAATGTTTAGGGTGGTTCTAGCAAGATAAGCTTGGTGTGTATGATTAACTGATTTGAGGTCAGCTAACTAAAGGTCACTACATTTAACACTGGCTGACTAACTTGTTTTTCAAGATTCTAATAATTTTCCTCCTTCTAGGTTAGGGGGTGGTATTTAAGCCTTTAAGATGGCTGTACTTATGCTAACTTTTGATTTTTCAGATCCTACATTTCCCCACTTCTCTTTAGGGGCATTCCAATCATGGAATGTTTGTATCTTCTTGTGGGGTGAGTGAATGATATTGTTGCCTCAACATCAGTACATGAACAGCACTCACTCTTTCTCTAACAAAAGTTATCAGCCGATTTAATATGCAGGGTCCTAAAGTGAGGAGCAACACAAGGATGAGTAAGGGCCCAGCCAGAGTGGATATCAGGGTTGTAAACCACGGGGATCTAGTGAACCAAGATTCAAATAGCCCTTGGCCGGCTTCCCGTTCTTTCTTTCTCTGGTCTAGCCTTTCCCTAAGCTTTGACATTGAATCTCTTACTATTCCAGAATGATCTGCATAAAAGCAGCATTCTTCTTTTAAAGCTGCACACAGTCCTCCTTCTTTTAGGAACAGCAGATCCAGCCCTCGTCTATTCTGCAAGACTACCTCAGAGAGGGAAGTCAGAGATTCTTCAAGTTTTGTAATGGATTGCTCTATGGTCTTTAAGTCTTCATCAATAGCTGTCCTTAGTCCTTCATAATGTTGGTTCCCTTGGACAATAGCGGCTGCCCCCGTTCCCACTCCGGCTGCGACTCCTATCCCTAACAACACGGCTAAGGTCAGCGAGACCGGCTCTCTCTTATATCTATGCCTAGGTTCAAATTCAGCTACGAATGAGAGATCATCATGATACATCAACCTGGGCACCAGCTGAACCATGATACAGAAATCGCGGGAGGAGTTGAAGGCAGAAGTAGAGACACATGGGGTCACTCCAGTATTACAAGCCCACCATCCCTCGGGAGGAGGGACTAGATACTCATTTTCACCTGAGGAGGTTACAGCTATGGTTTCATTACACAAAGCTTTATGGGTGGGGGGAACTGTACCTAAACATCTTCCTCTTCCAGTCACTTCAGTCAGAGTTAGTTTCCTATGGCTCCCCCAGCTACAGATCTCGTGACGGGTCGTCCTGTTAAAACTGCCCAACAATCCTAATCCTTCATAATAAGGCGGCCCAGAAGAGAAACACAACCAACAGGATTCAGTAGTTTTAGGATTGGTGGTGTTTAAGGCCTGAAAAGCCCCTTCAAGGAGGTTGAGAAGGCGTTGTCCTGTGCTAGGAAAAGGGGTAACTTGGCCAAGAGTGGAGACAGAGGGAGTGGTGGTAGAGTCCACAGGTGGGGCTAGGGTCTGCTCGGGGGCTGGGGCTGGGAGACGCGGCCGATCCCGCAGGACAGCGTTGGGTCCCACTGGGATAGCCGGGAGAGTCTCTACCTTAAGCCTGAGCATGAACAAGACTCCATTATCATAGCCACTCTGGTAGAGTCTTAGTCCCCATGTAAGCCCTTTTTCCCAGTTTGTTGCCCTTTTTCCTGCATCTGTGAAGGAGATGTCAATAAGATTGCAGGTGGGATTAGTCCTGCATTGGGCACGAGTGGCACCCCGTTGGATTTTTATGAGGCCTGGAGGAGGTCTCCCTGCGCTTCCTGTCAGCCAATGGCATGTCCCTGTCTGCTCACAACCCCAATTTTTACAAAAAAAATCTGTCTGCCCACCACACTGTGAGACCTCGGCATCGGTTGAGGGGGCCGGGCATACATAAAAGCAGGTACTTTGGATCTCTTTCATAGTCCCAGGGCCCCAATGCACTGTATAATCCCGAGTGCCACATCCGGGTACCCCAACTTTATCTTCGTACCAGGGGTCTTGTTTGAAAAGAGTGCATATATCTACAGTGAGGGTAGGCCACCAGGTTCCCTTAGGGTGTTGTCCTGTTAACTGGACTACTACTTGGCGGGAAGCTGGGGTAATGATTTGCCATGTCAGTAACCTGGGTTCATGAGGGTTAGGGTTCTGGTGGGTTGGAGGTAGCAGGAACATCAGAATCACTAATAACATAGTTCTTTCTACACAAGCGAAGCTTAAGGGGGTTATCAGTCCGAGTTACTCGCCAGTCTGGGTCCGGTGGGGGTGCCTTCTTTAGATGTGAAGCGTGTATCCAGGAGGAGACGCCGTCCACTTTCACGGCTGTGGGAGTAGTCAGGAGGACGATGAAAGGTCCCTTCCACCGCGGCTCGAGGTTTCCTGTCTGGTGTCTTCTCACGTAGACAGGGTCTCCCACCTGGAACTGGTGAGGTACTGAGAGGTCCTCTGGCCGATAGGCTTCCTTAATGGAGGCCCACACCTCTTTCTGCACAGCCTCCAAGGCTCGTAACCTTTCAAGCAAAAACTTATTAGTTGCACACTCGGGGAATGTATGAAGATGTGCTGATTGGAGCGGGGCCGGGGCCCCAAACATTATTTCAAAGGGCGTTAGTCCAAAGCGGCCGGGAGTGTTCCTGACTCTAAACAGGGCGAAGGGAAGGAGGACTAACCAATCACATAAGCCAGTCTCTATGGACAATTTAGTCAAGGTCTCTTTTAGAGTTCTGTTCATCCTTTCTACCTGTCCTGAGCTCTGGGGCCTGTATGCACAATGCAATTTCCAATCTGTCCCCAGGATCTTGGCCAATCCCTGACTTACCTGGGCAACAAAGGCAGGGCCGTTGTTGGAGCCGATTACCTTTGGGATCCCAAACCTGGGAAATATTTCTTCAAGGATCTTTTTAGACACCGTCTGAGCTGTCTCAGTTTTGGTGGGGAACGCCTCTGTCCATCCTGAAAATGTGTCTAGGAAAACTAGAAGGTACTTATATCCATACTTAGCAGGCTTAATTTCAGTGAAGTCAACTTCCCAATAAGCTCCTGGGCGATCTCCTCGAAGTCTTTTCCCGGATATTGCTTGATTTTTGCTCACGTTTACTAATTGACAGGGAACACAATTTTTTACAACCTCGTCAGCCAATTTTCCTAATCCAATAACATGATAAGGGGAGTCTCGAACCAAGGTCTTTAGGTTTTTTGCTCCCAAATGTGTCAATTGATGTAATTGCCTTAAGTATTCTTCTGCCTCTCTCTGGGGCAGGACAACTTTCCCTTTTTCAGACTTGTATATCTCTTGGGGCGAGGAATTTTTGAACCCTAATTTGTTTATACAAGCGAGATCTTCAGGTGTATACTGGAAGCTCTTAATGTGGGTGGCTTCCGGATACACTTGGAGGGGTAAAATGCTCATTCCCTGAGCTGCTTGCTTTGCGGCTTGGTCCGCCCTCCGGTTTCCTCGAGCTATTGGAGAGTCATCTTTCTGATGTCCAGGGCAATGTATTATCGCTACTTCCTTAGGCCTATGGATGGCTTCTAACAAATCTAAAATTTCTTGTTTGTTTTTAACATCTTTCCCGGCAGAAGTTAACAGCCCTCTCTGTCTATAAATAGCCCCGTGTATATGAGCGGTGGCAAAAGCGTATCGGCTGTCAGTGTAGACGTTAAGTCTCTTACCTTCTGCCATCCTTAGAGCCTGAGTCAGGGCGATGAGTTCTGCTCGCTGTGCAGAAGTGCCCATTGGGAGTCCACTGGCCCACACGATCCGGTCATCATCTACTACTGCAGCTCCAGCCATTCTCTTACCATTCATGATGTAACTGCTCCCGTCTGTATACCAAGTCAGGAGTCCCGGTCCTCCTAAGGGCTGATCTTGTAAATCCCGGCGGGTCCCTGTCTCCTCAGCCAGGATTTCCTGGCAGGTATGGAGCACTTCCTTCCCCGAATCGGGGAGCAGAGTGGCCGGGTTTAGGATGGCAGGGGGGGCAAACTCCACACGATCACGATTCAGGAGTAAGGTTTGGTAGTAAGTCATTCTGGCATTCGACATCCATCTCTCGGGTGGCTGCCGAATTACACTCTCCAACGCATGTGGAGCAACCACAGTGAGTTTCTGTCCCAGTGTCAGTTTGTCAGAATCTTTAACCAAGAGGGCCACGGCCGCCACTACTCTCAAACAGGCAGGCCATCCGCTACTCACTGGGTCCAATTTTTTTGACAAATAGGCGACAGGTCTCTTCCAAGGTCCCCATTGTTGGGTCAACACTCCCCGAGCCAGTCTGCTCCGTTCATCCACAAAAAGGACGAACGGCTTAGTCACATCTGGCAAGGCCAGAGCGGGTGCCGACAGGAGGGCCTTCTTGATATCATCAAAGGCCTGCTGTTGTTCAGGTCCCCAAACAAACGGGGCTGCCCCTTTGGTTTGGGGATACAGGGGGGCGGCTAAGGTGGCATATCCAGGTATCCATAATCTACAAAACCCTGCCATCCCTAGAAACTCACGAACTTGGCGCGGAGTAGTAGGAACTGGGATCTGCGTCACAGTCTGCTTTCGGGCTTCAGTAAGCCACCTTTTCCCCTCTCTCAGGGAATATCCCAAATAAGTCACTTGTTGTTGGCAGATCTGTGCCTTCTTGGCAGATGCCCTATACCCCAATTTAGCAAGTTCAGTCAAAAGGGCTCCAGTGGCCTCTTGGCAGGCTTCCTGAGTAGGGGCTGCTATCAGTAAGTCATCAACATATTGTAATAAAGTTACCTGTGGGTTGGAGGCTCGGTAAAAGGCCAAGTCCTGATGTAAAGCCTCGTCGAAGAGGGTGGGTGAATTCTTGAATCCTTGTGGCAAGCGAGTCCAGGTCAATTGTCCAGTAGTTCCTGTGGAGGGGTCTTTCCATTCAAAAGCAAACAGCGGTTGGCTACTCTGGTGCAGGCGCAAACAAAAGAAGGCGTCTTTTAAATCTAAGACTGTATACCAGGTGTTTTCCGGGGCCAGAGAGCTTAACAGGTTATAAGGGTTCGGCACAGTGGGATCAATGTCCTGTATCCTCTTATTAACTTCTCTTAAATCTTGCACTGGTCGATAATGTCCTGTTCCCACATTCTTTACAGGCAGCAAGGGAGTGTTCCATGGGGATTTACATTTTACTAATATCCCCTGCTCTATGAGCCTCTGGATATGGGGCCTAATTCCATCTCTGGATTCTTTACTCATTGGATATTGTCTTACAGTTACTGGTAAGGCTGAGGCTTTCAATTCTATGACCACCGGGGGCTGGTTTACAGCGAGCCCCATACCCGCCGTCTCTGCCCAGGCCCCCGGAAACTGGTTAAGCCACCCCTGACTAACTCGGGAGGGTCCTGATTCCTTAAAAAGGCGGTACTCGTCTTCTAATCTTATGGACAGAACACTTAGGCCCAAAGGTTTTTTTCTCTTGATCAGTCACTCGGGTATCTTCAGCCTGAAAGGATATTTGGGCCCCGACTTTGGTCAAGATGTCTCTTCCTAACAAGGGTGTGGGGCATTCCAGTATGACAAGGAATGAGTGGTTTACTTGTCCCACTCCTAAGTCCACTGTTCTTTGGGTAGTCCATGCATATTGTTTCTGGCCTGTGGCCCCGAACACCCAAGACTTTTTGCCAGAAAGAGGGCCGCTAGCTTGGGTCAGTACAGAATGTTGAGCACCGGTATCCACCAGAAACTTAACGGGTTGCCCCTCCACCTTCAGGGTTACCCTAGGCTCGGGGAGGGGCTCCGAGCCCCTAATCCTCATCTTCCAGCAGAGACAACACCTTCTTCGGAGGTCCCCGCGGTGGTTTCTTAGGGCATTCTTTCACCCAATGCCCCTTTTCCTTGCAGTACGCACACTGATCTTTATCCAAAGGAGGTCGGTTGCCCAGGGACCCTGCCTTACTAGTTCTACCACTAGAGGGCGGG